TGTGTTTTAGCTAGTTTTAAGTATTCCGCTGCTAGATACAATTTGAGTTTGAATTATAAGTTTTGAGAAGTTTAAGGTTTTATTGTCTGTAGTATTTAGTGTTTAATGGATGTATGATTAGTTTATTGTTTGGATGATTATGTTTATTTGCTCTCATGGTTTGAATAGTTGGTAGATATTAATGTTTTCTAGGGTGAATTTTGGGGCGTTACAACAATATAATCAAACCCTGGCCCAATAACAGGAGTAGGATTAGAAATGGTTCTCCCAAAAAATCACCCTTAAGGAGCCTCTTCAAGATCGTCACACACATGTCCACCTTCAAGTCCACCCTCTCTTGAGAATCCATAGCAAGTCTTACCTCACTCTCAATACCACCCAACTTCTCCTCCATCTTACTAACTCTTTGGTGTATAGTAGCTCGAGAGGTAGGGGCAGTTTTTGTTGCATCAACAGCAATAGAAGGAGTGGCCTTACTCTTAAACTTAGATCCACTTGCCTTAGATATCATAGAGCTCTTTCTCTCTCTTACACCGCTAATAATGCCTAGCTCAAGAGGTCGAAGGATGTTGGATGCCAAATTCTTCACCCCAGCTCCCTAGTAGAGCTTGGTAATCATACTACCAAAGGGCATGTTCCCCTTTGGTCTCTTAGTCATGCAGTAGTCTCTCAAAATGCCCCAAAGCATCAAGGAAATATTGATCCTTGACCCTGCCATGAACTCATGCAAAAGCACAACCCTTGGCATCCCCGACTTCTTCTCTGAGCCCTCGGCCACCCATTGTTTAGCAATAGATAATCGGCCCCCAGATGGCCATGGATAAAAGTGACCTTAAACTCCCCGGGCCTGTCGTACAACTCGTAAACACACTCAGAAAGATCCTTTTCTACAAAACTCACATGTGGGTAGTCGATCTTAGAGGGGTCAGGCCTCTCATAGCTCAAGGGTATAACTATCTTCACCAGAGTGACCTCTATCACTTTTCTGCGAACCGTCATCCTCAAAATCATCAAATCTACATCCACAATGGACAGGCCCGTGTAAAACTCACGATAAAGAGACAAGACACACCCCTCAACTGGCTTAATGCAAAACTCAAGCCCAGGGTCAACAATAGCTTGAATCGCCAAATTTTTTCCCAAGCTCTCCTCATCAACCATTCTCTCGCACATCACCTCTCTTTTCTCAATTGTCTCCTTGTACCCATAATTCTTCATTTTCTTGGGCACAAGTGACTTATCCTCATCTTCACTTTCCAAAACCAAACTTTACCTTTCCCCTTTTTCCTAGTCGATGCTTTGTCCTTAGCCAACTAAAGAATAAATTGGCCTAAAAAAACTCATCTAGGGAGCTTGAAGCCGGAATCCTCATGGCAGCCATTACCAAAAATCATGTATCTACTACTACAACAAGAGGAGGAGTAGTAGATATATTATTCTCATTTGAAGCCATTTTTATAAGCAAAATTACAAAAATTCAAAGTAAAAAAAACAGTATCACTTTACAAAGCGCGTTACTAAAATAGAGGCAATCTATGTTACTTTTCAATGTCACTATTTTATGTCATTGTTTGATGTCACTACTTAGCATTACTGTTTTGTATAATTGTTTCAATTAAACATATAAACACGTAAACAAAACATACAACTTTTCACAAAAGTTTTCCAAGTATCCCCAAAATACTATAGATTGTAAAAAACAAGTTTTAATAATTTGTAATATTTTAAATCAATTTAAAATGCTATTAACCTGAATCAGAAACACAAGTAATTATACCAATGAAAATCTATCTTAAGATTGTTGCATGTGGTTTTCCAAATATAAAAAATCACTTATTCAAATTTCTGATTTTTGTCATGAAATTTTGAATAAAAAAGTAACAATCAAGAACGAAATAGTTATAAGTAAGAATGAAATAGTTAAACGAATATATAAACTGACCCATTTACAAATCAGGAACTGTTATTGAACTTTATTCAGATCAAGACTAGTGTTTGACACTATTTCTTTATGATAAATTCTCCCCCACACTTGGTGCTTATGAAAATCAAAATATCTATCTCCTAGGATATAATGATCTTCACACAACTAAAAGTAGCACTCTAATTCAATTGTCCAACGAATCAGAAACTATGTTGTGTGCTTTCGTAATGCTGAAAATATGATGTAATGAGGTTGCCTTAATAACTACTCAGTCACCATGTCAACAAATGGAAACCACCAGACACATATAGTCTAGAAGACATCATTGAAGTCTATCCTTGGCAACAGGCACGCATTCAAATTTTTGTGCTAGAGGAGAAAATTAAATCCGAACAAGTGCGAAATTTGAATTCCAATAGGCACTAAAAATTAAATTATGAGTTAAGAAATTCACTCTCAATTCATTAAACAATTTTTCTCCAAAAAAATAAGGACGAGGCACACCCACCCCCACGTCGGGTTGGGTGGTGGCGTGGCGGGTAGTGGCGTGAGTGTGTGGTTGAACCGATGACATATGAGCTCTCGCTCCTCTCATAAAAGTATGGTACTTTTTGAGATCTAATCCATAGAGCAAACTTGATATATATATGCACAAGTAGAACACGAACCCACGAAAGTTTACTTGAAACAACGAGTGAGTTTCACTTTAATTTAAGCTCAAAGTCGACCAAACCTCAGATAAATTTGCTTTAGTCTAGTAAATTTATGAGGGATAAATTCATCATGGCTTGGCTCCAAGAGAATTATTAAGTTTCGAACTCAAAATGTTTAAATTTACAGCTCATTTTTGTTTCCATTGGACTACCCTTTGGGAATATTTTCTAATCATATAAAATTGATGAAATTAATTTATAATTTAGTTTCAACTTCTAGAAATTGAGATAAGTTTATTTATTTATATCAAATCAACATTTTACATAATTACAATCTAATGTAGATCTAATCAAAATTTTAAATATATATATATATGCACACAAATATGCGATAATTTTTTTGCCAAAATTAGGCTTTAATTAAGTTATGTAGATCGAATTGAATGTCCTATAGAATTTTTTAGTTCTAACGAATTTGGATATGACTGTTGAATATAGAGGGAATTTTATTGAGAAAAATTATGTGTTAAATCGTAAGAGAAAGAGAGATAATCGTGGTTTTGATTAAACGTGTAGGGAGAGTTTGTGCAAGGGAATGATGCATAGGAGTTTGGTGGGAGGGGTTTGATGGGTTGGTTTTCAGTGTGCAAAACGTCCACGTTTTGTGGAACAGAACAAAAGCCGCGCCTTGCTGGACATCAGCCCTTTTCACTCTAAAGCCGAAAATAAAGTCAAATTGTGGGAGAAAATTTATACATTTTATATTTTGCGTAAAATCTATATAATAAAGTAAAGATGAGTTACAGACAAAAAAAAAAAAAATAGAGATGAGTTTAAATTTCAAAATTTATTTTGAGCTTTTTGCGATTCAGATTAATTTTGAACTAAAGATAAGTTATATTTAAGAGTCTATCTTATCTCTAATTTTTTGTGACTCAGATTAACTCAAAAATATTGATTCACAGATTAGATTGACAAGATGAATTTTGTTTTCCCCCTTAAGACCCCTTCCATTTTTAATTACTCCAAATTAATGCTTTTCCGTTTTCACATTCTATCAACAACTCCTTGACTTTCATTTTCACCCCCTCCCACTAAATCATAAACACATCTTCCCCAAACAATGCCTATTGTAGTACATTCACTATTTCTATAGTAACTAATTTATTCTCTTTAGTATTTAGATATATGTCTTTTGAATTATATAGTGATGATTTTAATTTATTATTGATGAACTGGAGTGACACATTTGATTTTAATATTTCATAAAAGCTATTTTTTCTTCATATATGATATCATCGAGTGAGTGAAGGATTTTTTTTTTTGTTGGTGTTATGTAACTTTAATTTTTGGATCAATGCAAGCAGTATAATTTTATTTTTTTTTTAATGCAAAGAGAACAAGACATAATAGCTTGAGTTTAAAGGATTATTGAGTGTTTAGATAATGAGTAAATAAGTCTCAGTTATTCTGGTACTCCATTCAATTCTCTATGAAAATGGAGTTTGCGAATTATCTCCAGTAGTAGCATAAGATTTTGGAGAGGTTTATATTATAAAAGATTGTGGCATAAGTCATTGTTTTTTAAATAAAAATTTGTATTCTTTATTATTTTAATTATACAAATTGCGTATGCAAATTGATATTGTCCAAGTATTGTGTTTTTGAATTTTATTTATTTATTTATTTTTTAATAATGTGTTTATATTGATTGGTACTTTGTGTTATACATTGTTTTTAAGTATATATATTTTTTAAATAATGCCTTTCGATGCGGGTAATAATTAGTCTGTCAATATTAGAAGATAAAATCAACAACAATACTATTGTAACCTAATTCAGTATGACATTTTTGTTTGTGAGAAATTTGGTGTTATTTCAATAGTTTCAATGAAGTTATATCAATAAGTCAATAAATTATGTCAGAGTTTTAAATCTAATTATGATTACTCTAAAATCAATGTTACGCTCACTAAGATTTTTTATCAAGTTTCCTATCATGAGTAATTTGCATAGTTTTTACCACTAAATAAATAAATTCTATTAATATTCAATGGTATGTACTGTACCAAATTATTTGTAATAAAAAACTTTATAAGTATAATATTACTCTTTTTGTTTACCGTCAAAAGTGAAATGCAACACAGTATATCAGCACCCCTAGGCTTCAATCACGGACAATGTACAGCACAACGTGGGGAGCTCTATTTTTCGGTTTTTGCAAACGTGACGACTACCACCCTTTCCACTTCATAAAATAATTATAAAAAATTCAAACACCATGTTAATTCACTCCCGCATCTCTTTCTCTCTCTCTCTCTCTATATATATATATATACACACATATATATAAGACGCCACACTAGCCTTCTCATATACACGCAGTTTTCTTATCCTTCAAGTTCCAGAAAAGAAAACGAGCCATGGTATTCGTCCGCTTAGCTTCTTGGTGTGCCCTTCTGGCCTTGTTCGTTGGCTTGAAGGGAACCATTGTTGTGAGCTTCGACTACTGCGATGCTCTTGAAAAGAGCTTGATGTTTTTTGAAGCACAAAGGTCTGGAAGGTTACCAGCGGATCAACGAGTCAAATGGCGGGGCGATTCTGGACTACGTGATGGTTATCTTCAAGGAGTTAGTCCCTCTTCTTTCTGTGAAAATATATATCCCTTCAAATAGTTTGATGATGATGATATTTTGACATGGGGTTACTGTATACGGATTCTGCCCACTCTAATTTCACTAGAATCGGAGAATTCTACATTCACGTTTAATTATCTTCTATCCACGATCGTCTCTATCTTATTTGCAAATAACCATAGTTTTTAAAAGCATGACTATAAAATAGGCTTTTTCATTAAAAGTGCGGGTTCAATTCACACATTTGTGAAATCCATTGTTGTTTGATAAATAAATTGAAAAAAATGATAGTACATTTAAAAAAATGATAGTACATTTAAAAAAATGAAAAATTGTGGTAGTTTGAACATTATTTTTTGTTACTTGTGCAGGTGGACTTAGTGGGGGGATACTATGATGCGGGAGATCATGTGAAGTTCGGGCTGCCAATGGCCTTCAGTGTGACAATGCTTTCCTGGGGAGCCATAGAGTTCAGGAAGGAGATAGTAGGTCTCAACCAAATGGGACACACCTTGGCTGCCATCAAATGGGGAACTGATTACTTCATCAAAGCACATACTCAGCCTAATGTTCTCTGGGGACAGGTAATTTTTATTACCGACTTTCACATATTTGGAATAGATTTCCTCCCTAGCTCAACAACATTGCAATGCAGGAGAGAGAGAGAGAGAGTTTCAATTGTTTGGTCACCTATTTCTTATCTTAGTCTTACTATACCATCATTATGATAATGGTCAAATGAGTTCAAGGTCAAGTGCTCTTGATGACACATTAAAAGATACCCAGTCACGTGTACCAGCGCTAAATACCTTCTTTTTTTTCATTCTTTATTTTATTTTATTACGGTGAATCAATTTTTACTCATTTTTCATTCTATATTTGACTTTTGTGGCCATTTGATTATGACTTGTTACTTAAATGATTGAAGTTATCAACCCACAAGGAAACTGATATCGAGCACTACACAATTTGAACAATACTATTAAGATTCGATGATAATAATCCAAGTCAACCGAGACACTTCCAAGTGGAGTAGGAGTCAAATGAGATTTTTAATTCTCGCATTACAAATTATTAAGTCAGATATAATTTGACCAAATTGTATTAGTATCGACTGTTTTTTTGAATCAGATAAAGGCCACATCCAATACCTATTCAATCATAATAATGACAGACCAAACCCCGGTAAACTAGTCACTGGCCAGGACGTGGTGGGTGGCATACTAGTAGGAAAGTTTTCACCTAAATCATAACATCACATTTTGGTTCGTATATTATACGATGAAAGAATACCGACTTGTATATTTGGAATTTTGATTTTAGTTATTCCTATATTCCACTATTCCAGTATTCTCTTTTATCAATAAACAATGCAGTAAATTATTCGTTGCAGGGGGAATTAGGATGAGGACATAAACAAGTGTTAACGTCTCAATGATATTTTTCCAAGAACATAAACAATATTAAAATGTATTAGAGGGCAATTAGGATGGGGGAAATATTGTTTAAGCACGAAATTGCATATGCAATTGCACCCCTTCTTACCAGCTATTGCTTGTTCAATGCCAACTGCCTTCTAATTTGCAAGAAAGTTGATGACTTTCAAAATTAAAAGCATCTTATACCAACCCAAGTAAAAAAAAAAAAAAAAAAAACAGTTAGAACCTAGTTGTAGTTCATGACAAGCTGTAAGATTAAAATTTAGCTGTTAAGAGTTGAAGTTTCAACATTATTTTGTGATACCCGTTTCATATAGTTAATCTAAAACTATTTTATGTTTAACAAATTCAGGTAGGGGATGGAGAATCTGATCATTATTGTTGGGAGCGTGCTGAAGACATGACGACCTCAAGGACTGCTTATAAGCTTGATTCGAATAATCCAGGCTCAGATCTTGCTGGTGAAACTGCAGCTGCTATGGCTGCAGCTTCTATATCATTCAGGCCTTTCAACTCCTCCTACTCTAATCTTCTTTTGCTACATGCAAAACAGGTGAACATATTTATAGCACATAAAGCCACAAAAATTTCCTATGACTAATCTGTTAAGCAAGAGCCAGAAACAACTCTAATTGTGAACAATTCTTATGCCACCAAGATAAATCCTAGGGGTCCCTCCCAAATATTCAAAATATAATTATACTTGTAATAGAAAAAATAAAGCTTTGAAAATCTCATTTGGCTTTTTTTACTCATTGAAACATCCACATTGAACTTTTTGGTTAACAGAAACTGGTTAACGAATATTGTTCAAATACTGCAGCTTTTTTCTCATTTGCTGATAGATTTCGGGCTTCTATGACGATTCCATCCAGTCTTGCTAGCAATTCTATACATCATCGGGTTATTTGGTTGGTGGATTTCTGCCTTCCTCCATATCATTTGTTTTCTGCCTAATGCCTCATTCTCTTCTATTTATTTTCTCAATAAAATATGTGTCCGGGTGCAGGATGAACTATTATGGGCCGCTGCGTGGCTATTCAGAGCAACCAATGAAGACTACTATTTGAAATTATGTTGTCGATAATGCTGTCTCTATGGGTGGGACTGGATGGGCAGTCAAAGAATTTCTTGGGACAACAATATGCTGGCATACAAATTCTA